ACCTCCAGGAGCAGATCGTTTTCCAGACATACTTAAAAGTTTTACATCCTCCTCATCTTCATCTTCTGACTCTGCATCTTCCTCTACAGCTACTAGGTGCTGTCCACTGATGTGCACAGGCCCTGAACCACACTTCAACCTTAAGATCACAGGTGGTGCAATTTCAAAGCCCCCAAGAGAAACTGTTGGTTGTACAGACATTTTCAAAGTTGCCAGTGTTACTTTAATTGGACTGCCTTCATAGTTCATTGCTCCTGCCTCTACAATGTGTAATTCGTCTTTTGCCCCTGCCCCTAAACTAACCGTTCTTAGTGATAACTGGTGCTCATTCTCATCATTATCCACCTTAAAATGATAATCCTTGTCAGCTTTTAGTTCACAACCGAAAAGGTAGTTCTGAGTCCTGAGAGGGCTCATGTCCATGTCCATCGAGTCTTCCATGAGGTGGAGGCGCGCACTTCGGTTCGGTGTGAGAGAAGTCGGACGGAGGAAACCGCCTGCTGCTCCGCAGAACAGACACGCAGGACGGAATCATGCCAGGGCATTATCATCATCTTTTTACACATAAAAAATAACCTAGAAGCAGCAGACACTGTTAGCTGACTACTATTCACTCCCTCACCAACACAACAACTTACTTTGTTGACATAGTAATGTGTCTAGTCAAAAAGAATTCATCTTCTGTTGGGCATTGAAAAAATTTGTATGGAGTTTATTTTCTTTATGGCAAAAGCTAGCCATGTGGGCAAAGAAACTGCCCTTGCCTCAATTGCTGACAGTTACTGTCCAAACTAGACCAACAGGACGCAGGAAAGGCAACTGCTGAAGTTTGCCAAGACAAGGTAGGACAGTCCTTTAAAATTCCCTGCTTCACAGCAAAGTCTGTCAGATATACTAGGCCTATACTATAGGCCAGAGTTGGATACCCCAACATTACAAAGGAACTATGGGTGACTATCCAGGTAGCAAGATGTCCCTGTTGTTAGGTAACATTTCACTCTTCTGGGGTCTTTGATGGAGCTGAAGACTAAAGAGTTAGAGTTATAGTTTTCCTTAGTTATGATAAAAGGTAAATTAGATACAAAACTTTGGACTCACAAAAATTAGATGACAAAATATTTTCTTTAATTTTTCCAAATACAAATGGGTTGGATATTGTTACTGTAATTCTTATTTAATAATTGTTTTTGTTATATATAATTTTACTGTGTTAAGATTAAAATCTTCCTTTTTAATTAGACAAAAAAGGATTATGCTCATTGTTAATAAAATAAACTGACTGGCCGATAACAGGGAAAAAAAAGAATTCATCTTCTCAGACTCTCTTGCAGCTTGGGGTCACATGATCCTGTTTTGATGTATAAGAAATGGTAGACACCAGAGTGAATTTTAGGGAAAGCAACTGTTGAGGGTAGGTGTAGCTGGCTTGTGTGTCTGGCTCCTTCTTGACTTTACAGATTATGGAAGTAGCTGTCAGTCATCTCATGACCAAGAGACAACCAACTAATTGATGGCACTGAGACAGAGGTACAAAGCCAATGAGATCTAAGCAATTTTTCAGTTTGCCAAAGACACACTGAGCTGAGCTGAGGTTG